ACTTATACAAACCTGGGTACACATGTGTCCAGGTTTATGGTCAGGATTGGGTTTCATGGGACAGAGGGTGCATTTATTTACAATAATATTCCATCTGTTCCAAATTATAAGGCCTATATATTTTTACACGGTCTTCAATAACATAATTTGACTAGCATTTTATTCCATTATGTGATCCAATAAATATAAAATTAGCATCACATGAAAGTACTTCAAAAATATGAATCTAGTGATATAACATGCATATTACTTAGCATAGATATAGTTAGTATGACTATTAGTCAAAAGCTAGCGAGTTTGATTTCCCTTAAAAAGAGGGCGCCCTCTAATTTGGGACGGAGAGAGTAACAATTTAGGATATGTGAAAAAGCCCCTAAATATTGAATTAAACAAGAAAAATAACATACTTTTAATTTATAATTTGTTAGACATGTTTTCCAAACAAACTAAACCTAACCTAATGGAGAGTATATATAATTATTTATAAGGATGTATTAGTATATATAATTATTTATAAGGATGTATTAAATATTATATATTTTAAAAGCTAATAAACAATATAGAAAATTTATGTAACCAATGCCATGAACAAATTTATGCACAAATAATACTTTTTAAAATATGGCGGGTATCATCTGATTGATTCTCCGCTCTAACAAGCTTTTTAAATGGAATCTACAGTGCACGCGGGGTACCTAGTTGCTTCTAATATTACTTGGCTGGTCAACTTCCGGATTTAAAAGTCTGCACTGGCTAATCGGTCGCTGACCTTCTGTTTTTTGTTTTGACAGCTCGGCTCTTCATAATTGATGATGTACCTTCCCTTAATCAAAGCTATGCCAATACTAGACAGGCATTATTGTCTAACATTAACGATCAATCTAAAAACTCTCATTATTTAAGTTGTTAAGGTTTTTTTCCCCCTGGGAATTAAGTTGTTAGGGGCAATTTCGTTTCTACCCCTACTTTGATGTCTAATATTAATTTTACCCTTACTTTTTAGGGTTTTCGTTTTTACCCTCACTTTTTTGAACTGAATGCTTGTTTTGCCCTTACTTTGGATGGTGAAGTTAACGGTGTTAAGTAATTGATAAAATGATATTTATACCCTCTCATATATGTACATAAATTATGTTTTGCCCCATTTTATACATGTAGCTTTGGAACTTTATTTTTGGGAGTATATTTAAAATTAGATGACGCACATTGACTAATATAACAATTTGGACAAATTCTGAATTTGATGGAATTTTGACAAAATTTCAGCATTTTGATAGAACTTAAACAAACTTTTGACAATATTTTGTAAAATGTAATTATATATTTCCTTTAGATATTAGTCAATGTGCTTCATTTAATTTTAAATATACTCACAACAATAAAGTTCTAAAGCTACATGCATAAAATGGGGACAAAAACACAATTAATGAACATACATGAGAGGGTATAAATGTCATTTTATCAATTACTTAACACCGTTAACTTCACCATCCAAAGTAGGGGCAAAACAAGCGTTCGGTTAAAAAAAATGAGGGTAAAAACAAAAACCCTAAAAAGTAGGGGTAAAATCAATATTAGACATCAAAGTAGGGGCAGAAACGAAATTGTCTCAAGTTGTTAAGTTGGTTGCACAAAGTCTATGGTTCTCTTATATTGAAACTGGATGGTACTCCATGCGGTACTGCCGGATGTTGTAAACTTATATACTCATAAACAAAGTCAAGTCTAGAATGTTTGGAACGTGAACTGCTTTGTTATGATTAGTCAGTTTATATTTTTAAAACGAGTGGTACAGACAAATTGTATGGATGGCGCATCAACAGCTTGTATTTACATCATTAGAAACATGTTGGTGTCATCGCGCTAGGCGAAAATTTGGAGTCTACTACTTTGGTTCTCGCTGTATTGTTGGTTGGGGCGGAGATGCGGCATGAAAGTCCGAGAGCGATGCGGTGGCATGATACAAGTCGTTACAGATCGGAGATGCAGTAGAAATTGCATCAGACGAAAGAGTGTACACCCTCTGCCCCAAAAAAAATCTAATCCTAGCTTTAAACCTGGATACATGCTAGAATTTACTTTTTTCTAGGACGGAGTAGTAAATACCACTAACCAGTACACAAAACCAAATAGGTGACGGCATCTATATACTGATTCATCTAGAACCGGTATACACTGTTACAAAACACCACATTCGCAAAGCCCTCATTGGTATTGGTTAATTTAAAACCGGCTCCTATTAGAGATTTTCCGTGCAAATGAGCCTTTTTAACTGGATCATATTAAGAACCGAAAAATGTATCACTTATAGGTGCTGGTTTATAATCATACGTATGCTTCTTAAAAAACGGCACTTACATATTAGTCATTAGTATTGGTTCTTTTTTTCGACCGACACGTATGTAACGAGCCGAGCCGTTATGCAGCACCGATGAAAATAGCACAAACAAGCTGTGGCTGCCTAGTGCTTATCTTCAAACTACTACAACCCCACCACGTCCCCCCTCCCCTCCCCGCCCCCCCCCCCCCCCCCCCAAAAAAAAATCTCACCCTCTCTTCACCTGACAAGCGGCGAGGGCGCAACCTCCATAGCAGTGAGCGGTAGGTGGGCTCCCTTATGTCGCAGGCGGCCTCCCAACTGTGGGGGCGTGGCGGGCGGTCTCTACGGCAGCCGGTAGCCTCCACGGTGGCGGGCGGCCTCCTCTCCACGGGGCCTAGTAGGTAGTGGGCGGCCTCTACAATGGCACGGCGGACGACCTCCCAACGGTGGTTCATAGGTTGCCAGATCTGTGCGTCGTCTCCATCGGTGTCGTTCTCTTCTTTCCAGATTTGCGTGTTCTTGGATGCTGATTTATGTATGTTTGGTGTCTCCATGTTTGTTGGCTGGATAGATGTTGATGAATGTGGATGTTGATGAATGTGTTCTTGGATATGGAATGCTCGGGATGCTTTGGGGTGATGGGGAGCTACTCGATGTAACGGCTCATCGAGCCAGATTTCTTTTGATTCGTGGACACTCATAGGTTCCCCGTGCAAACATTCCTGGTTTTCTTCTTCGGAAAGTTTATACACCCAAACATATATTATACATGGACTCAGATTTGGATTCAAATGTTTATATATTGAATGCTTCTATACTAAGCATAAAGTTTAGATGCGTACAGTGCCGTTTAAAATATGGCAAAATTTCCTACAGGACACTTAAAAAATGTGTAATTAGCTGTGGGACACCGCAAAGACGTGAATTTGCCCGAGGACACTTCAAAAATATGGTAATTTGCTGCAGGACACTGAACACATTAAAATATAATATCCACCCAATTGATGAGAGAGAAATCATACAAAATGACAGTTTTGCCCTTCTTCTTCTCCCCAATCCTCCATCGATTCCCCAATCCATCCCCGACCGGCCGACCCCAATCCCCATCACCCCATCTATTTCTTGTCGGCGCTCGTCCTAGAGCCGAAGCTAGAGGACTTCCTCGGCGTCATTTCCCTCTCAGAGCAACAGCAGCATCATCCACGACGGCGTCAGCACCGATATGGTGAGTGCCGCTGCAGACAGAGGCAACGGCGGCATTGTGCTGTCCATGATCAAGAACTGGCTCCGGAGCTAGTTGACCACGGCTTCCTGTTACGCTCGTTCTCGGCATACTGTGCGACCACGCCGTCAACTACGTCGAGCACCTATCCACCATGGGCAAGCCAGGAGCTCACTGCAAGAGTGAGAGTTTGAAGAAGACTGAAAGAGGGGAGAAGAAGATAGGGGCAAAAATGTTTGTTATTTTGTTTGGTTTATCTCTCATCAACTGGGTGGATATTATATTTTAATTTGTTCAGTGTCCTACAGCAAATTACCACATTTTTTAAGTGTCCTCGGGCAAATTCAAAGTCTTTGCGATGTCCCACAGCTAATTACACATTTTTTGAGTGTCCTGTAGCAAATTTTGTCTTAAAATATATACACGTGAATTATATGTCCCAAAATTATGTGGTTGGACTTATATGTGAATTGAAGGCCCGAAATTTAACTAAAAAAATTTTAGTTTCCAATTAAGTAGGTAATTTTTTTTATAAAATTTGTGAATAGAGATTTGTATCTATATAGAAACTACAGTCCCGTAACTCGCATGTTCATTTTCGGGATCCCTAGCATGGGTTCACGTAGGATCCAGGCCGTGTTCGTGTTCGTGCGCACGCGTCAGACGACCCCGGGGTTCGCTATAGTGGTGTACGCAGATATCTCTTCCTAGTTCATGGTGCCCGACCGAGGCAATCTGAAACCATGCACCATAATGGCATCAGATATATAGAGATGTGAACTGTCTCCCATAGAGCCACGATATAGCCAGGTACGTACCTTGTCCTAGCTTCTACCTATGAATTGTTTGGCTAATCGGTTGTGCACATGCATGCCGGTTTAAATGCCTGTAAATGTGGTATGTTTTAATTTTGTGCTAAACTTAAGGGATGGTAGCGATGTATATTTGGTTCAGTGGGTATCAACACTATATGTGATACATTCGACTTTAAGTTTGGCATATACAAATTTAAACGGAACAAAAGTAATTGTAAATAGTACACTGAGTTGTTCCACTGTTAATATATGTTTGTGGAGTTATATATTATAAATCATATATTATCAAAGTTTATTAAAAAAGCATATAACAATTTAGAAGATGAAAGGGCATCATCCTCGGGGAAAAGAAACCATTTCCCCCTTCTATATCCTTCTAAAAGAAAGAACTGAAGCGAGGGGAATATATTGTATCAACAAGATCTGCGCGAAATATGTATGCATGTGTTGTTTGTGAGCTATAAGTAACCATGCATCGACATGTTCCTCTTGCTCCTTGTATTATCGTTGGTCGGATATGGCGGTATCAAACACTCGAGCTGTATTGCTCTTGCTATCGGCGTGGCCATACCTAATACAGCTTTGTTATGCTTCTACTCTCTCTTACAATTTCTCGGATCCACAAAGCTTCACCTCAGGGGATCTACATTTTGAAGGTGATGCATACCTCGGCGACACCTCGGTCGTCCTGGCCAAGAAGGGCACCGGCGAAGTCAACCCAAAGGCCGGACGAATACTGTACAAGCAACCGTGCCATCTCTGGAGCAACACCACCGGCGAGGTAACGAGCTTCACCACCACCTTCTCCTTCCTCATGAACGGCGGACAGGGCGGGCTGGCATTCTTCCTCACGTCCTACCTGCCGATGGTCGCCGGCGCCGGCCAGAACGCGCCAGCAGGCGGCGGCGATCAGCAAACGGTCGCCGTGGAGTTCGACACCCATGGAATCCTGGGTGGAGCCCGACCATGTCTACGCACAACTCGTCGGAGAAGAAAGCTTACAAGGTCGTCGCTGGCGACCTTGCCAACGGTGAATCGAAGATTGTGCGGATAAACTACATCAATACATCGAACGTTCTCGCTGTCACGCTTGGTGATCTCAAGACGAGCACTTCTCTCATACTCAACACAAGCGTTGACTTGAGGCTGTTTCTGCCGCAAGAAGTTACCATGGGTTTCTCGGCTACCACTGCCACAGCCACAGGCTCTTCACAACTCGTGTCCCGTGAGGTGCTCTGGTGGTCATTCAGCACATACCTGACAGAAGGTAATCTGCCGGCACTGAAATCCACTCCTCTTTTATCTGGTATGACTAAGTACTCGAATTAATAAGGGTTAATTGGATTTATGCCACTGTAAATATGACAAATTAGAAAAATATCACTACTATTCACGATATAGGCTGGGTGTCACTGGAATTTTGATAAATTAGATCCATACCACTCCGTCGCGTTTTCCATCCTTTCCCGTTAGTTTCCTAACTCCGTGCCGCCGTGAGGGCTGAGACCGAGACTGATCAACAATTGCTGAATATCTGAAATCAAAAACCAAAAACGATGTACAACTAGCTAATCGCAACATGTAAAGATGGATTTGTGAAAGTAATTAATCAATCAAGAGGTGCAGTGTGTCACTGATGCGACGGCGGCGTCCTCGACCGACCGTCCAGTTTCAGCGGCAGAACTCCGGCGTTCGACAGCCGCCCCGCCGTCGGCTTGAACCCGACCACGCCGCACAGCGCCGCCGGCATACGCACAGACCCTGCAAAAGCGCGGCAGCGTCGGTCACAGTGCATGCGCAAGATCGAAGAGATCGAGACCGAGCGTGTATGACGGTTTATTTACCTCCGCCGTCGACGCCGAGCGCGACGGGGCAGAGGCCGGCGCAGACGGCAGCGGCGGAGCCGCTGGATGAGCCGCCGGAGACACGGCCGGGGTTGTGGGGGTTCCTGGTGGAGCCGTGGTGCGGGTTGTTGCCGCTGGTGAGGAGCGGGTCGGTGGCGAGGAGTGGAGGATGACGCCGGCCGGCAACTCCGCCGCCGGCCTCAGTGGCGGAGCTGGACAGAAAATCGAAGGGGGCCAGCCGGCTTTTGACAGTTCAAAAAATTAGCAATTTCTCTTTTTTTTCATGCATTGGCAATACATAAAAGCGAATAGTTTGCAAAAGTCGACGACAAAGATCAGCTACAGATGTTAGATTTTGAAATTTAGGATTGGTGGGTACATCAAGTTCATAGTGACGTAATTGATATCTCAAATTGGCTCTCTTGTTCTAAAAAATCAGCAGGATAGAACTTTGAAGCTAGAGAGCACACTTTGTCAATGTTGAATGAACTGAATGAATCACTTGGATCCAAAGATATACACAAAGTGAGAACCTTTGTTGCTTGTTCACTGAATCTGCTATGATATATGGAGGTAATAAAAAATTTTGTTTTTATTGGGAGGGGCCATGGCCCCAGCCAGCCCCCCCTCAGTTCCGCCACTGGCCGGCCTTTATGCCCTCGGCTTCATGGAAAGAGTGGGAAAGACAGAAAACGTGACGGGGTGGCATGATCCAATTTTTTAAAATTTCAGTAGCATCCAACCGATATGACGAATAGTAGTGGCTTTTTTTAATCTGCCATATTTATAGTGGCATGGATCCAGATAACCCAATTAATAATAGTTGTGATAAAGATCTCATATAGATCCACTCATTTTGTTGAAAGAATTCTCTATACTGCATGGAACATTTGGAATCAACGAAATGCTCTCATTTTTCAGAATGTACCACCTTCGTTTGTTTCCTAGAAAGCTCTCTTTAAGATTGATCTTTCTCTTTTAGTCTTTAGATTAAAAGTTTCTGAGAGACAAGCTTTATCTCAGTGGATAAACATTTTGTAAATTATTTGTATTCCTTCTTCCCCTACAGTGTTTCCCCTCAAAATAATAGTCGTGACGTTGCATTGGATTCAACTAAATTTATGGATTTGGATTTGCTATAAATGTGGCGTTGCATTGGATTCAACTAAACTTATCAATTTGGATTTGCTATAAATGTGGCCAGTTTTTTCTACGAAAATTAGTATATTTTTTGGCCATAGGATATATATGTGCTAGCGCGTATAGCAGAAAAAATGTGCAAACCGCGGTGGCTGGGAGTGGAATCAATCCATGCTATTCTAGGTTGTAGTGATAGCATCTAACCAATTGAGCATGGTAGCATTGTTGATAAGTTAATTCTTCTATTTATATTACTACGTAAATACATTGAAATTACATATATAATTTAGAAACTTACATCGTAAATACACTAAAATTATATATGTAATTTAGGGACTTATAGTGTAATATATATTGTCTTTTTTTCATGAAAAATATGGCGGCATAAATAGTCTCCAAAAAAAATTATCATGTACTTCAAAATTATCATAAATTGGGTTAAATATGGAGTACTCTCTCTGTTCATGTCACGCCCGGAATTTCTATCCAAAATTCCAAACGCTTATATGTGTGTAAACCCTCGTCCAGGAATCAGCCGAGGTACACAATAACAAATTGATAATAGAGTACAATTATTACTCTAATTAATAAGCGAATAAAATATCATTACAGAGGTAGATAGTTCCTCTCAATCAATAAAGATCTAAGCAGTGGAAAAATAAAATAAACGGCGCAGACGGCTCCACTCCACAGGCAGCTTGACCAAGGCTACACCTAATCCTCCACACCATCAGCATCATTGTAGAACTCTTCCTCTGATGAATGATTGCAAGGTGAGTATATGACATACTCAGCAAGCCACGCAGCAAATATGCAAGTGCACAGGATAACAAAGGATGGCATAGTAGGGTTTCATTTGCAAAAGCAGCATTTAGCAAATATTTGAGAATTTAATAAAACGGTTAAGTATTAATTAAACAATATTAATCCAACGCTATACAACATACCCTGTTGCATAGGCCCAACCATTCTGAACAACCATCCCGGCTGCACAGTTCTATCTCCAAACCAGGAATATACCATTCCAAACCAGGAGCTAAACAGATTATTACCAATTATAGCATCTTCTATTATGGTGAGAAGGGTGAGACTAATCATGAAAGACATTGTTAGACCCGCCCATAACCGCGGGCACGGCTATTCGAATAGTTTTACTCTGATCAGAGGTGTACCACTGTACCCACAAGACACAACCCCACATCATGTCACCATGTGCCTCAATACCACCACGGTACCTCGGAAAGGAGTTGTGACAATACCCCTCGCACAACACAATCCACTGCAGTGCACTTTTCCTGGATCATAATCACCCCCTTATAAACAAGGCATGGACTCCCCAGCGACCCCCGTGGACTTATCTCCGCCACTTCTCAGTCTGGTGCTCCGCAATGAACCATGCTATACAAAAGATAAAGCCGTTGCCCATGCTGGCTTGTGGTTAGCACGGTTAATGTTTCACAACCGAAACTCGTGAACCGGTCCTTAATTGTCATGAGCACGACCATCAAAACCATGTGCTCACAACCCACCATTATCAGGTTTTAGTTGGCACATTAATTAACTAACCAATCACGATTGACCATCGTGAGCTATCATTAAGCCATCATTAACTAACAGTGAGTCAAGAGTTATCCCAATAGTGAGCTAATGTTTCTAAGCAGGGCTAAGCAATTATATCTAATATCTAGTTGAACCAATATATATAAAGCTCAACTAGTCAAGTTATATTAACCCAAGGTATCAAGGAATAAAGTAATCAAGAACAAAAGGGCTATAACAAACAACAGGTTAATTCCACCCAATGACATTCGAAAATAAATGCAATAGTTGAATAGAAACAGTAGCTTTAAATAGGATCAACATGCTCAAAGGGTTGTTTGGGATCTGTGTGACTTGCCTTGCTGGCCTTGGAACTCTTCAAATTCTTCTCCTGTGAAAACGGACTCTCCGGAAACGTCGGAATCTAAGCAGAAAGAAGCAAAATCACCAAAACAGCACATAAACAAGCATGAACAGTACATGTGGATATTTTTAACATGTAGATCTCAATTTTAGAAAAATTTAGAGACTTGAACCAACTAAATCCGAGCTAAGATGAATTAGTTATGAATTTTTGAAGATTAAATCGGATTAAAACACTTATATAGATTTTAATTGAATTATGACGCAATAATGAATTATTTTTGAAAAGGAAAAAGGGATTTATTGCGTCAGCAACTAGGGTTTCGGTGGACCGGGCGCACGGGCGATGGTTCACGCGAACGGACAGCCGAGATCAACTTGATCCAAAACGGACGGCCGAGATCCATCGGTCCACGACCGGCTCACGGGAGAGGGCGACGATGACGTCGGCGATGACGTCACCACCGGCGGTGGCTCGGACGGCTCGGACGGCGCACGCTCGCCGGCGAACGGCGGCACTTCGGCACGAACGGAGAGCACCAATGGGTAGCGGACGGCGCGGCGAACTCACCGGTGACCAAAGGAGCGGCGGAGGAGGAACGGACGGCACCGGCGGCGAGGAGGAAACGGCGGAGGAGATCGGGTCGACGGCGGCGACGGTGCTCCGGCGATCTTCGGTGACGGCGAAGCGGCGGACGAGGACGGCGACGACTTGGTGATCCCGACGGTGGACTTCCCGAGCGACGACGACGGCTGGAACGGTGGCGGCGCGCGGCTGGAGCGACGGCGGCGACGGCGGCTCGAGGTCTCACGGCGCTAGGGCGATTCCGACGACGAGAGGCGAAGGCGAGGGTGGCGGCGGGTAGAGGAGACACCGGGGAGCCTTTTAAAGGGGCTAGGAGGCAGCGGCGAAGGCCTACGGCTGCCGGCGACGAGAAGGAAAGGTCGGGCTTCGGAGGAAAGAGGCCGATCCGAATCGAACTCGATTCCACGAACTTCCAAAACGATTTAGCCGATGTTTCCAAAAGGGAAAAGGTAGAGGAGATCCCGAGGATCATTTCCCCTCTATCAATTCGGCCGGAAACGGAAAGGATCGATCGAATTTGGAAGGGAACGGCGGCGGCGCGAAACTAGGGTTTCGGGCGGCGGCCGACCGGAGGAAGACGACGACCCTGACAAGCGGGACCCACCTGTCAGCGACAGCGAGGGCGCGCGCGCGGGCGGCGGACTGGGCCGGCTGGGCCGAGGAGAGAGAGAAGGGTTTTGGGCCGACTTTCGGCCCAAAGCCAAAAGAAGACTTTTTAAAACCTTTTTCAATTTAAATTATTTATGAAATGCAATTCTATTTATTAAAAATACTTCCTTAGCTCAAATAAATCTCAGAAAAATCTAGGAATTATAGAATTAAGCAAAGTATTTAATGAAATTTTATCTAGCACCATTTTATATTGGAATTTATTATTTAAAATTAGATCTTCTCTTCTAGGCTTTTAAAATAAATTCTAAAAATTCCAATTAAACATCAATTTATATATTTGAATTCTCAGGGTGTGACAGTTCACCTATAAAAAATGTGAACTTTGTTGAAACACCATTGAAACATTTCATTTTCATGGATGAAATATCAAGCTTCAAGCCACTAAAACATCACAAATATGCAAGAAAAATCGAAGGTTGATATGAAACACCATCAAATGGAGTATCCATTGCAATTCTTCAACGCAACCCAAAGAAACATCCGAAATATATTAGCTGAAACATAAAAAGATCACAAAAATGTACCGGTCTCTTACTCCTTGCGACCATCTTCATTGGCGCTGCCACCCCTCCACCGTCGTTCGCCACCTCGCCAGCTCTCTATCTCCGCTGTGAGCATTTGCATGTAAGAGAGATGAGAGATAAAGAAGGACACGGGATAGGTGGAATGAGGTGTTAGGAGGAGCCCGATATTTTTTTTCCATCGGGCGCTCGGATAGGTAACGTTTTCGACATTTTCCTTCACGAGCCAAATAGGTGTATATATAGATGGCCATAAGACCCGCTCGGCACGGCCTGACCCAGGCACGGGCTAGGCACGGCCCGAGGCCATCGGGCCAACATGGCACAGTCGACACTTCGGGCCATGCCGTGCCGGCCCACGGGCTGCACTTTAGGCCCAGGCACGGCCCACTAGTAGTTGGGCCGTGCCGAGCCAACCTGAAGGCACGGGCGGCCCATCACGTCTTCTTTAAAATAAGTCTATTCCCTCTCCTCTTTGGGCTGTGACATATATGTAGCTAAAATAAGGAGAGATACTACAGATGGAATTCCGTTGACTGACGGGATAGATTACACAAATCTGATGATCGTAATTACGTGGGTGGACATACATGCACTAGACAAGAAAAACGTGGTCTCGCTTCTCTTCTTAGGCAGCATATGTGCATGCATTTTTTTTCTAGAAAAAGAGGAAAAAGAAAGAAGAAAAAGGATACTTGAGAGAGAAAAAACATAGCACTGACCAAACAAAGCTACTGGTACCTACTCGTATCAGGTATATTGCCAATACCTGCTAGCTACACATATCATCACTGATACGTGATACTTACATATAGCATCGTTATTAACTAGTACTACCTCCGTCCCAAAATAAATATAGTTTTACACTATTTATCTCCAACGTTTGATCATTCGTCTTATTTAAAAATTTTTTTATGATTACTATTTTTATTGTTATTAGATGATAAAACATGAATAGTATTTTATGTGTGACTAATTTTTTTAAAAAAAAATTAAAATTTTTTAAATAAGACGGACAGTCAAACATTGGACACGAATTACCACGGCTGCACTTTTTTTAGAATGGAGGTAGTACCAACATGTATCATCACCGATACAGATACTTGTGTGTTAAGCATCATGATTGATACCTGCAAGTATCAGGTATCATCGTTGATACCTTAATGTATCATCATTGATACCTCAATGTATCATCGTCAGTACCAATAAGTATCATTATGTAGTATCTGGTACTTATAAGTATCATCACCGCGGCAACATATCCTATGCACACAGGCCCTCATGTGTACACACGTGCATACCAACTAAAAAATGTCACAAAAAAATCTAGAAAAAATCATACACATACTTTCAATTGTATTACACCTAGGGTTAAAATATTAACGTTAAATTCATTATATTTTAGCCGTAACAAAAAAAACAAAAAATCTGACAGTTTTAAGGTTGCAATTTTGTCAGAATTTTATCTTTTTTGTTATTCTCTATGTAGAATGAATTTGAAGATGCGACTTTGCACGTAGATGTAATACTATTGAAAGTACATGTATAAATTTTCCTAGAATTTTTTGTGATAATTTTTAGTTGGTGTACACGGTGTGTACACGCGAGGACCTGTGTGCATAGGATACGCTCCTCATCACCGATACTTGTATGTATCAGGTACCATTGCCGATACTTGCTAGCTACACATATAGCATCTTTATTAACTAATACCAGCATGTATCAGGTACCATTGATGATAACTGTAGATATTATTGTCGATACCAAGCAGTTATCATCACGTACTATCATCGCTGACACCAAAGATATCATATAGTATGGGTAATATAGATGTTCGTGTATCATACTAGAGTTGATATCACTGTACACGTAAATAAAAATTCTACCAGCTAAGTGTTTCATCTTAATACATATGATTAACTTAAATAGGATTAGAAAAACAAATGTTCCTAATATGATCATTCTAGCAGCCTAACTACTAGACTGGTTCACGTGTGGCCTAAAGTCATAGACACAGACGTGGCCACCACTCATAACGTAACTTGCTGGATAGGTCTAGGCTCTAAAGCTCTAGCACCGTCTATATAGGACAATATATAGAGTGTAGTACTAGTAATAGTCAACGGATTTGTGGGCCCTAGTTGGTTGATTGACTGACTAGGCACAAATCTCGACGCTCAGTGTGGGCAGTTGTGCGCAGCACCTTGACTTGGGCAGCGTCTAATTTATTTTATTAACTATCCCATTACACAACGGTATCCCGTGCTGTACATTTTCTCTAAAATAAGTCTATTTTACATTCCTACTTTTTGGAGCATGCTATATAATATGTCTATTTTTCTCCCTATACTTTGTGCCGTGCCTTACATATGGTTGAAAATAAGTCTGTTTTGCACCCTTAAACTTCGTGCCGGGCCGTGCCGGCCCAGCGTGCTGAGGTAGCACCCCACACACGGCATTGCTGTTGGGCTGGGCCGGCCCAAATCACTGGGCCATCGGGCCTCGGGCCATATGGCCATCTATAGGTGTATAGGCTGACTTGTGTAATGGCCCTGAAGGCCTGGATGCTGCCCTCTTTCTTTTTTTTTTTTCCCAATCCTCTTCCAATCAGGGAAACCTAGCTGATTGATGCCTCTACTGAGATTTGGGAGCGTCGTCCGGTAGCCCTGCGGCCCTGCCATCGGGCTGGGGCCGGCAGAGCAAAACGCTCGATGCCTCATATGTCAAGACTTGAAAAATCAGGAAATAAAATTACCAAAAATAAAAAAAACAGTGCTTATTAAGTCATTTGGCTTTCTTTTATTTTAACATATCCTTGTATATCGTTCTTAACAAGGGACGAGCCAACTACTAATTATAGTCTCCCCTATGATTGCTTATTTGATCGACATGTTTATATCCTTATTTTTCTCTAAGTAGGTGCATGTGTCTTCAGATCGGAAATGCTACTAGGCGAGGGCGATCGATTCCCCCCCTCCTCCCTCTCCTTCTCTCCACCTGGTTTTCTTTTTTGTCACCGTATTATTTTCCTATTTTAGTAAATTTATGTACCTAAAGTTTATGCACCTCAAGTTTACACATCTAAAGTTTAGAGACCAAAAGTTTATAAGTCAAAAGTTTATATATCCGATTCAAATTTGAATTTGAATTCAAATATTATATATATATATATATATATATATATATATATTATTTCTATATATCTAAAGTTTATACACCTAAAGTTTATATATCCGATTCAAATTTGAATTTGAATTCAAATATTTTTCATATATAGTATTTCTATGCATCTAAAGTTTATAGACCCGATTCAAATTTGAATTTGAATTATATCCGATTTAATTTTGAATTTGAATTCAAATATTTTATAAATATAGCATTTCTATACATCTAAAGTTTATACACCTAAAGTTTATCGATCCAAAATTTATAAGTCAAAAATTTACATACCCGATTCAAATTTGAATTTGAATTCAAATTTTTTATACATAAATTTTTCTAACTTTTTGGTTTTTTAAAATTTTTTTATGGTGTACTGTAATAGGAAGAGAAGAAAGGGAGGAGGAAGGGAAGAAGTGGGAGGAGTGCCTATAGGGGGGGGCGGATCCGATCGCTAGGCGATCGCCTGTTAGGCCCCCCCTCTTCAGATGTTATATGACTGTGAGCTACATTCGTTAGTCCCGCTCGATCTATGGTTCTTTGTACGTACGTATTCACGTATTATATTGTGTTACCCAATGGATATTGCCTTCATGTAGTACATATTTTTGTAATTGCAATGTGGTTTCTTTATGGATTTCCTTGGATTGGATATATTGGAACACCCGTAGTCAGCTATCCAATCCAACAAACTGTGTCCTGTGACCATATGGGAGTGGGAATCGAACTAACAACCTGTGTCCTGTGAGATGTAATCTTGTGGTACTAGTCATCTGACCGAGCATTGATGAAGACAAAAAATAGACAAGTTACACCTATATTTGTTTTTTACTAACAAAAAACTGCCAACCTTTTTTAGATGATGGAATAAAATCCGGCCTTTGCTCAACGTGCTACAACCAATTATTACATAAATTCGCTCGAAAGCGACCACACACCAAAGAGTTCACATAAACACATCAAAATTTAATGAAATGCAAGCACACAAACTAATAAACACCAACACAAGATAAAAAAACATAATTTATTGAATCCTTTTTGTGAATTTCCACCTGAAATTGGCAGAGAGCTACATGACCGTAGACTTAAAGTCTCCAACATACATTCTCTATTAGCTTGATGTCGTCATCACACCTTTGGTGAATATGTAATGGAATGAATATGTCGCTAGTTTTCATCTTTTTGAGTGAGTGCTAGGGGATGCTGGAAAAAAATGTATTCCTTACAGCAGCAATTGCAAATGTTTGAGAAGGCGTCAATTATCTATCTGTTTTGTTTTTTCTGTTTGAAACGTATCAACGATCTATCTATTTATTTTGACTAAATAGAAAGCTTCTATTTATGTGATCAGGTCAAACCCTGTTCAAAAGACTAATTAAATAAAAATTTGAGCAGTCTTTATGTTTTTTTTTCTCTTTTCGGTTTGTTATTTTTTCACTTTCAGGATGTGCTTTTGACTCCTCCGCTGTCTTTGCTAGCAGGTACTCCGGCTGATACAGCTAAGAAGTCCAACAAATCACTGGTGATTGGAATTGTTGTTGGGAACTTGGGACTGTGCTACTTATAGTGACGATGCTCATTGCAGCTTCACTTTGCCGTTTAAGTAGATGGATTACGTCGAGGCCTCCACCCATGCCCCTTGGAGAATATTGTGCAGGCGGTCTTTGGCCAAGTTATGGGAATGTAGGCATGGGCACTGGAGAATATGGTTTTGCGTCGCCTTCACAGACTCCGTTTTCTTTCGAAGTATTATCGGAAGCGACGAATAATTTCTCCGAGGAACGGTTGCTCCGTGAGGAAGGTCAGTTTAGTGCATTCTACAAGGGGGACCTGACACATTTAGGCATCTCTGTAGCTGCTGCTGTGAAATGGCTGAAAATAAAGTCAGGACAGGCCTTTGCGGTGGAGAACTACGTGAAGGAGTTTGCAACCATCAGCCTAGCGATCAGACATCGCAACATTGTGCCGTTCCTAGGTTGGTCCAGCGAGCAAGATAATCTATGCCTGGTATATAAATATGTAAAGAACTGGAGCCTCCACGATCATCTCTACAGTCCAGGAAGACTTCTTACATGGCCTACGAGGTAAGAAAAATTTAGAGTGCTTTTCTGAATGAGGTTTTGTATCGAACTATCTCACGGTACATATCCTAAAGCATGAAAAGAACTACTTTAGAATTGAAGTTAATTAAATAAAAAGGGAATAGATAGAGTCCAAAATTAAATTGAGCAATTTTTATGTCCCATTAGAGATACATTATTTTCAGTCTCAGTTTTATTTGTGGGTATCTTAATACTAATGCAAAGGGACCACCTATATATTTGTCAGTAATGTATAATTTCCTCCAACCTAATTCTACCTACCTTTTGATTTTAGGAATGAAATATAAGCATCCACAACTAAATAAGAGGGCTAAACACGAGTAATGTTCTTAATCGTAGTTTTAGGCTGATGTTCTCCCTGTGTTCGTATTCCAGGTACAAGATAGTATTTGCCATAGGCTCCGGCCTTAAGCACCTCCATCAGGACGTCCGCCCCACATTCCCGCACGGCAACATCAAACCAAGCAATGTGTTGCTGGACGAAGAGATGAACGCAAAGCTCGGCGATTTCGGGCTGCCTCGGCACTTCTTTCAGTACGATGGTGAAACCGCCTCTAGCTCATATCGACAAATGCCGGTCAGCTCTCGAGGATACGTGGAACCTGGGTTACTCCACACGGATCAGGCAACCACCTCGTCGGACGTCTACAGCTTCGGAGTTGTGCTGCTGGAGATTGCGTGCGGTCAGCCGCCTATTATCCTCCAGCAAGACCAGGCTGAAGCAAATAGCCTTGTTAAATTCGTCTGGGAGTGCCACAAAAAGGGTTCGATAATTGAAGCAGCGGACAAGCGGCTGAATGGCGAGTTCAACCGGGAGCAGATGGAGCGCGTGTTGCGGGTTGGGCTCTTGTGTGCTCGCCGAGGCAGCAGCCAGCGCCTATCCATGGGCGACGCAATGATGTTGTTAGAGGGGGTTGGATTTTGATCCCTGCAGAAGATATCCACTCGTTATTTGCATGTCACTAAAATTGTTATGAAAAAAATTAAAAATATTTGAAAAGATGTATTAATATACAATCACTCTGAAAACATGCAAGTTGAAATTCAATTTCTACATCTCGTAAAAAAAATTGACTATGAATAAATAGCTGTAGTTTAATTTGTTTTTTCATTGTGAGAGTCGGAGTTTGCATGTTTGTAGAGTGATGTATCACATAACAATACATATTTTTATTTTTTTCATAATTATTTAAGTGACATGCAAACAACAAGGAAACATTCCCTCATAAAACAAAATAGTTTCCCTTCTTAAAGTTTGTCGTCCCTGTGCCCAACCTTCCGCCAAGGATTCCGATTCCGGTGCCAACAGCTGCAGATCATGAACGGTGCACATCGCCTGCAGGTCGTACATCACCATTGTAGGATCGAACACAAGTAACCAAGCCTACCAGAGGGGGGGAGGTGAATGGTAGGGAAAACCAAAAACCCAAAACCGTTTAGCGGAAATAAAAGTTACCCTCAAATCGATGGAAATCTCGACGTAGTCCTGTCGCCGCTGATCGGACCGCTCGCACGCCGTCGGTCTAACCGCCGCCTTGTCGCCGGTTGAACCGCCTGCCTGCCGCGGGTGTGACCGCCGTACTCAATGAAACACAAATCGAAGAACTCTCAAAGTAGATGACAACTTTATTGCTTCTCTCTGTGTTTACAAAGTGCAACAACAACACTCCTTACAAAAATCTTGACTAAACTCGAAACCCTAACTAAACTATCAACTCAATTGCTCTCAAAGCGATACCGGGAAGCCTCACGCTCCCTCTCTATTTATACCAAAAAAACCTCCTACTCAAAGTAGGAGAACAACTCCTAGTCACACTAGGACTCTATCCAAATCACAATCTCCTAAAGCCTGCAGCCTCACAACCAACTACAGTCAATCCGTGTCCTAGCCAACCCGACATGGACACATGTCCGTCTCATACGAAGTCCCGGTCGGCCTCGGTCTCCTACCATGGCGTCGCTCCTGCCTTGGACTCACCGAGCCAAAACACATGTATATGTATACATGCATCCATGTACTGCCAACTACTGCAGTACACTTGCATGCATCGATCAATACCACACATATGCATGCTACAGTACCACGTGTACTATAGCACCATGTACTCTTCCTCAATTTCTCACTCCAATCTCCTTCGCAAACACCAGCACTTGCACGCACACCTCGTGAAGCCCGTTGTGAAGATCTCTTCCACACGATGTCCATCCACCGTGTGACATCTCGTATCCAACTTCGTCACCCGGTATCCTTGACCGTCTGGACCTCAACTCCTCCCTGAGTTTAGTCCCGATCCTCACCGTTGACCGAAGTTGTCCTCCAAGAATCCTGACTCTAGTCACCTTCTCACATGGTATTCCAACCGCACTAGACCTCTGCTCCTCCCCGAGCATTGTCCCGGTCCTCACCACTGACCAAGGCTGACCTCAAGTCACATGCACACAATCAGACAAAACAACCGTTTCTGGGCATAGATATTACAACCTGACCCACATTAGTCACACGCACTCACACCAACATCCACACATACTCTCAAATCAATTCTTTGATTAAATCATTTGCAGAGCCAATTGTTCATCACAAATATTAATCATGACAATGATTTCACAACCATCAGCAAGCTAGCTTACGACTTCGGTGTGTTCAAGTCGCATCGTTATAAGGAAAGATCAATATGTGAAGACAGGGAGGTATAGCTCGATCTATATATCATCGATTGGTAAAGACTGATTTCTTATTGTATCAAGTTAATCTTGTTTGGAGTCCAAGTTGCATTTAGATACATACACTAGAACGGATACCCTCATCTCAAACAGGCGGTAAGCCCCGTCTCAATCGGGCACGGCGTCCGTAACAGTCTAGAAGTCACTGATATGAAAAATAATCTCAATCAGGCAAACGGCCGTCACTGATGAACCTATCTCAATCGGGCCCTAATTGAAGCCCGTCACCGATAGCTTTGACTCAGACTACCAGTCAAACTATAGCCTGTCACATATGACCTATCTCAATCGGGCCACAAATAGAGCCCGTCACAGATGACTACTAACCTCAATCGGGCTTAAACTAGAGCACGTCACAAATGATACTCATCTCAATCGGGTCTAAACTATAGCCCGTCACAGATGACTGTCATCTCAATCGGGCATTAACTACGGCCCATCACAGATGACCATCATCTCAATCAGGCATTAAGTTATGGCCCGTCACAGATGAGTATAATCCACAAAATAAAAACTTTGTTTTTTGGCTAGCCTCAGGCCTTTGCTAGCCATGCTCGCTGCAAAAATGACAGAAACACAGATATCCAATATCCCCAGCTCCCTAGCATCACCCATTCATATATATGCATTCACATACACAACCATCAATATATTTCACACAACCACATTCACAGAACATCCATTTTGATCTCATATTTCACATCTATTTAAATATTTATCATATTGCACATGCAAAACCAAGTTAATTGGATCAAATATTTATTTAGCAAGTATTAACATAAACATAAGAAATATATAAATAAATATAAAAATCACAGTTACATAATCAATGTTCATCATTGCCTAAACATAAAAGTTCAACAATGTTCATCATTTTAGTTTAAGCCGAAACATTCCTTTGGGATTAATTATTTCGCGGAGGATGAAGCCGGCTATCTCCTCGCGAATCTCCTCAAAGCTGGTAGGCAGAGACTTGGTAATTTTGCCCTACATTGTCATAGATCGAGATTAGTTGATCGATCATATATATGTACTTCGATGTAGTTAGTTAGTCTATCACAATTGAGACCACCGACCTCAAACCCTGTCAAAGTCTTCACCTTTTCTTTGTACAGAAGGCGCATGTTGTGGCACACATGGAATCCGCACTGGTCACCTATTTGTTGCTTCACCGGGAAGTCTTTTTTGTGGATGAGGATGTGATGTCTTGTCTTCCTGAGGCCTCCTCTTTGCACGTATTGGGCCCACACTTCATCTATCGCTAGTTGAATTGGGGTCCAATCATATGCGTTCTTATCAATTCTGGAGTTCAGGTAGTGACATGTACTCCACTTAGGTGTTATGACCAGAAGGATCCAATGGTCACTACGGCATTAATATAGTGAAAGTTAATCAGTACTGAAGGAACGTGTCATGCTGTTGTGTATATTTAGGGAACACACTTACCATTGATTATAGGTGCACATAATGCACTCCTTGTCTCAGTGGGACTACAAGGTGTCGTAGATGTAGTTGACCATTCCTTGACGGTCATTCTCGAGATTTGTGACAGTGACCACTTGTGGATCAAGGAAGGCAGCTTCCGGTGCATTCTCCTGACACTATTGCCAATTTAACCTACACGCAAGATAAACGATCTTGTAAGCGAGTTAAACCGATTGTTATTACCAAATTGAGTTGGGCGACAATACTTACAAGGAGTAGCACTTAAGGAGGCTTGTATCCACCGCTCGGAGCCAGTAGAGGTCGAATAGATCCTTAAAGTCGACCACGATATAATTTGTTGGACCAAGAAATGGATTTCCATCGTGCTCTCCAAGGATATCAGTAGCTTTGTTTGGTCTCCTGGCGTTAGATTTCTCCATGTAGTATACGTGAAGGTCCTTGCAAGCGGTGCCCATTGCAGCAAGCACGTCATCTCCAACCAATGGCATGCCTAGTTAGAACTCCTGTGGAGCGACGTATTTCTTCTTGACCTCTTTGCCCTTAGTCTTTTCCTGCCCCTTGCCCAGATCTAGCTTCCTTGGAGCTAGAAGCGAGGCCTGCACCTTTCCTCCTCCTCCTCTCCCCTTTGCATGGGTTTATCGAGAGTAATTCTCTGAGGGGAAGAGTGTGCCTTCCTGCTCTTCTTCATCGGTGGGGGTTCATGAATCGCCTTGCTGTCGGCCTCCGTTCGGTCCTCCCAAAAATCCGTGTCGTACTTCAATTGCACATCATAAGATTGTGCATGACGATCTTGAGCAGGAGGGGCTGAAGGAGAAGAGGAGGGTCTCTTTGGCGGACGACCGCCTGGTTCAATGGTTGGCCTCGCTGTAACCCTTATCTCAATGAGGTCCTTGGGCCATTGGATGAAGGTACCACGGGCATTTCCTAGTGATAGGACCTCGTCGTTCGGTGGATACTTTAGTGGGAACAGCTCGTATTCGGGCTTCACCGAGTTGACTTGAACTTTTGCACAGTCGCCCCTAAGTTGCGCTCCATGCACTCTTGTCTCTGGGGTCGGCTTGTACGCAAGTCCCTCGGCTGCTGGAACCGTGAAGGTCGGCATCACCCTAACTGTGAGTGTGCAGCTCGTTGGTTCCTGCGATAGATTCATCAATTTTTAGAACATTATATAACATATGGATTCGTTAAGCCTTTCATGTATTGTGGACGAAACTTTTACCGTTATGTGGTCGACGGCGCTGTCGACCAATGTTGGATTTTCCGCCACCTCAGTTGATGCGCAATTGCTGCGCTTTTGGGTGGGACTTCCTAACTCTTCGTCGCAGCAGCAACAGCGGCCTGTGGGTTATGTTGCTCTTCTCGGATCTCTTGCCTAATCTTGGCCCTCATCGACTCGAGCTTTTCATTGAATTCAGATGCCAGCTCCGCTCTGATCGACGCCGGGATCTTGGCTTTAAGGCGTGCATCTTTCTCCGCCTTGTTGGAAGTCCGCTTCTTGGACTGCCACGCGTAGTCTGGAAATCCAAACTTCTAGGGAATGGAGGACCCAATGCCCCGTGTCCTTCCACGGTGTTCCTTGTTGCCCAACGCTTTCGTGAGGAGGTCGTCCTCGCGTCTTTGAGAGCAGGCCTCTTGCGAGGCTTGTTGCTCGGCAACCATCTCCTTATGCATTACAATTTAGTTGGGTTAAATAAACTGCATGATAGGAAACAATGTGATCATCTATTTTGACTAGACACTTACTATAGCTTCGTACAC